AAAATAAAATAATAGATTCTCTAATTAGTAAATTGTATTTTTCGGGAGCGGATCAAGTCAGTAACCTTCATTGATATTTTTTTAATTAAAAAAAATCGAAACATTTAATATCATACTAAACATGGTGGTACTGCTTGGTACTACATAAGATCACACCACGCGGCACAGAAGTGTACTATGGTGGTATGAATATAACATAGTTTAGGATAGTTAAATACATGATAATAGGAATATATGACTTGTTATTTACCACATTTATCATTGTTTACCACTAATTACCACCCATATACTAGAGTGGTATGAGGTGGTACGTTTTGTCCTGTATTTTTTTTTCTTCATAAATTATAGATCCAATTGACAATGAAAATTTCGTTCCATCTACTCAAAAAAATTCAAAATTTGAGTTACAAAACGAAGGTGGTAACATGGTAGCAACGAGTGGTATGAAATTCTTTTCTCAAAATATATTGATTTTCATTTTGTAGATCACTACGAATGATTTTTCTGATAATTTATCTCTACATTTTCTTATTTATCCCACTAACTATACTTACCAATAAATTTTTAATATTTCTCAAGCCATCTAATTGTTTTAATTAAGAGTAAACATGCCATTTGATAAAAAAAAATCCAGTTTCCATTGAATGTTAACCATGATAGTTACCACACAATAACTAATTTTAAATCTTTTTTTCGACAATTTGGAAAGTTAAAATCTTGGAATTATTTAGAATCTAAAGATTTAGACTCTAACTCACAAACCATCCCTTAGTTAAGAACTAAGCAATAATAGGTTAAGATTTTGTCTCGTGAGGTTGTATTTAGGTTTTTTAAAATCAAATTTGGATATAGATGGTTAATAGTTCAAGACATTAGAATCTGTGGCTCATTTTCTTAAAATGTACTCAACCCCAAATCTCAGTCCTTCAATTGAGCCAATGATATTTGATGTTTTAAGAACATATGCGTAGATACCTCTTAGTCTTATACACATTATCTTTTATCAACTAACACATACAACAACTACAATTTTTCTATGTTTATGGCACCGATATCAATGAAACAAAAAAACTAGTTGTATATGTTAATGGGAATCGAGTTACAAATTAATGAATACGGGATAGGATTATGTTGCACACATAATTGTTAATTGATGGTTGAACTAAGTTCAGCTCTAACTAACCATGTTACCACACGTTCGGTTAGCTTAAAATTGATCAAACGGGGTCAAAATCTTCATGTTTTAATGCCTTAAATAACTAAGTGAGTCACCAAAACTCTTTCTCTCTTTGTTTCCCTCGCAAATACTTCCTCTCTATGTCTTAAATTCGAGTCTTGGTGTCGTTTGGAAGTTGTGATTGTTAGATAGATGTATTTGTTGTGAATGCATAATATTAAATATATATTATCGAAATTAATGCACTGTAAAATACAACATTTGGTATGTGTGATTGTGTATGTCATATGAGCTTAAAGCTAAGACAAAATAATCTCAACAATCACAACTAAAACCTTATATATAACGATCACTTATTTTGAGTGATAGTATCTGTTGATCATAACAACAATACATGTATTGTTTCTGATAATAAATAAATAAATAATGATGCATTCTATATAATACATGTGTAAGAACTAGTGGCGGATCCAGGGGGTGGCCACCCCGGGCCCCGGTCCAGCCCTCCTCTGGATCCATAGTTAGTATAGGCCTTATGAATTTTTTGATATTAGGTATTCGGCCCAATGCTATTTTATAATAAAATTGGATATAATTAGCAAATTGATTTAGATGAATATATTCAAATCACTACTCTAAATTTAGTCAAGCCCCAAAGATTTTTCGTCTAAAAAAAACAATGAAAACTAAAACTCTAAAGCATAGCAGACTAAAAGAAATATAAGGTTTGTTACCTTGAATATTTACTAGACAACTGGTGGTATAGGGATGGACACATAATGCAAATTGATATTGATTTGTCTAGTGTTGATGCTGCTCGTTTCAACAACTACAGAGAGAACCTGAGAGAACCTTTTGAACAAAGAAACATGTAAAAACTTATATGCACAATAAATTAGCGATGAATTTCTTGCCAATTGCTCAAGTATTTTATTTGGGATAATGTATACTATTGGTATGGATGTGGACTATATTATTGATACATTTTCTAAATTAAGATACCGTTGTGTACAATTTACATTGTAAAAAAACTATAATCATTAATTTTTTTATGGTTCTAATTTTCTAATAAAATGCGGCCTAGTGTTCTTTTGTGTTCTGGATTCGTCGCTGGTAAGAACAATCGCAACTTCCAAACGACCAGAGTCAAATCATTTTATTTTGGTTCAACCCGTTGAAACGTGATCACCTTGCTTACTCGGGTTAACTGTTGGAACCAATTTGACAACCTTGTTGCATGATGTCGTATTTTGGATTTTAAGGCGTGCATTTTTTTTGTGTGTAAATTGCAATCGCTTGAGATTGGAGTTATAGGGTGTATGGAGTATAGCCAGGTTTACTGTTGACATATAAGGTACATTCAAATACATTACCCGAATAGTTTATAGGAGAAAATTGAGTTATTTGGGTCAGGAGAATTGACGGGGCGAATAGCAACTTCATTTATTTAAAATTATTGAGCAACAAAGTCAAATGTAAGCATAACAAATCATCCTTGAGCGTTCAGGACCAAGGATGAAAAAAGAATCCAACAAAGGAAAAGCGTTAAAGATGATCATGATACTTCCCCAAGAATTGAAACTTTTGATCAGTTGAGGAGCAATATCACCATTTTTTTCCAAATTTTGATCAGCCATTTTGAATACTAAATAAATTTGTTTAGTATCTATAAGGTGTTAAGATATAAGTTGAGATTATTTATTATGATACATATAATAATGTAATTTGAAAAATATTATGATGTGGATACTTACGATTTATAAAAACATATATATATTTACATGTTCCCGAGCCTTTAGTAATTCGACCATGACAACGAAATTCATTAGTTAACTATTATCAAGTCGTATAATATTCGCATCATACCGATTAATTAAAATCTCAAATTTGTTTAAAACTATAATTTTAACTAATTCAATTTTCCGAACAATGGGCGGAATACAAGCTAGTACTAAAAATGTCATTGTCCATTTCGCATTTATCAATTCTACAGAAAAAATGAAAATAAGATTTGTCTAGCTATTTGAGTAAAAGAAAATGATTGTGTACACTTTGTCCATAGCATGGGAATATGTATGTTTTGGGTTATATGTGGGTTGAGTGGGATAATATTCGTGTTGTTTCAAGTTGCTGTACATTCATTTAAATATACTACTCAAAGAAAATAAATGTAACCATTTTTTTATGTGAGAACAAATAGGGAAAACATTTTCTAAATGCGAAAGAGAGAATAACTTGAAAATAGAGTCATACCATTTAAGAGACATATATTCTCACCTCTCCATATTTTTATTAGGGGAACCCGTGAGCTAAATTGTTATTTTAAAAAAAATTAGAATAGAAGAGATATGAATAAATCTCAGGACATATATAATAAAATGGTAGAAAAGTAGTATCGATACCCTAACTTGTATGAAGCGGATAATTTTTGCTTTCAAACAAAAGAAATGTATGATTTATTGGGTTGGATTAATATTGCACCCGGTTTTTAGATTTATTTTTCGATTTTAAAAGCTGAAGCAAGGCCAAACATAAAACAACTCTAAAAGCTCGGCTTTTGAAAAGCTGAAAACGCTGTTGTGTAACATAAAAGCAGAAGCTCCGATTCGCAGCTTCTGCGAAAAGCTGTTTTAAAAGTATAAGATTATCCTTTACCATATTTTAATTTTATTTCAAAAAAATAATTTTATTTCATTTATATCATTTTAAAAATAAAATAAATTATAAAATCATATTATTTAATATAAAAGAAATCTAACAAGATACATTTTGACTACTTTTTATTGTTTAGAATTTTTATTCATAGTTTATATTATAAGTCTTTTATAGTCATTTTACATAACCTCTCATATTGAAAAACACTTCTAATAGTTTTTCATCCAAACATTTAATTGCTTTTTTTGAAAAGTATTTTTCTAAAAGCTCTAGCCATAAGCTACTTTTGTCAAAACTACAGCAGAACCAAACTAGCCCACCCATTGTCATTCATAATTGTACATTTATAGAGTGATGATTCAATTGTGATTTATCATAGTTACCAAAATTGTTTTTGGAACTGTGTGAGGCAGTAAATTAAGTAATGATAAATGGGTTAATATTTTCGTATGGCCTGAACTTTGACCAAAATAAACATCCTGGGCAATCTTTTGGATCTATAACATCATGGCCCGAACTATACACCAAAATAAACAATTTGGCCAAACCCGATGTTTGACTGTTAACTTGGACGGTCAAACGCGTTGACTAACGGTCAACGCGCCACGTCACTGCCAAGTCAGAAGATCTGATTAATATTTAATTTTTTTATTTTTGGTTTAACTAAGGTATTAGATGATTTTTTTAATTTATAATAATTTAAAATTAGGGAATGTGTGGAAATTGTGAATTATTTTAAATATTTTATGCTGACTTGGCAGTGACATGGCGCGTTGACTAACTATCAACGCGTTTGACCGTCCAAGTTAACGGTCAAAAATCGGATCTGACCAAATTGTTTATTTTGGTGTATAGTTCAGGGCAGGATGTTATAGATCAAAAAATTGGCCAGGATGTTTATTTTGATAAAAGTTCAGGTCATACGAAAAATATTAACCCATGATAAATCACAGCTCCAAAAGGAACATAATATTTCTTCAACAAAAATAATTAGTAGATAATAGATCACCAGATAAGCTAAAAATTTCAAAATAAAAGGTTAAATGATGAAATAATCTTACCTGCCACTTATTTGAGTAAATAATATTTATTTAAAAAAAACCCCGGATTTAAAAAACCTATATTTCTTTATTCAATTTCAATAATTCCTTTGGCTCCTCTCCTAAAGTTTCAATTCCGTCTTCATCATTTATTTGCTATTTGGGGGATTCCCCTGCTTCAGTTTCCCACCGGATTCTCTGATTTTCTCCACTCTTTCTTTCTCTGTTTCTCGGCGGGGTGTTCTGTGGTGTATTGTGTGTTTCTGCGAGTCTGGGAGCTTTGGATCTCTTAAATGTTTTGCTCATTCCATGCTCAGATCTTATTTGTACTTCTCCAAAAATTGAGGTTAGCAAACGAAGATCTCCATTTCTCTCCCTCTCTTCCTCTGCAGCTTCTCTGTTCTTCTTCTTTTGACCGTTTGGGCCAATCTCCTTCGCTATGGCTACGCTAGCTGGCTAGGGTTTGTGTTCTATTCGGATCTGTAGACAACTAACTGGTTAACAAAAAAAAAAAAAAAAAAAAATTCTCAGCTTGCCTTCATTTCCCGTTTCTGCCCCCACCTAGTTGGTTGCAGAAAGTTAGGGTTTTGAATTTCGGGGAACCCATGAGCAGCACTTCAATCTCAGTTGATTGTGCTATTTGACTGCAAGTGCAAACCATAATTCTGGGCTGTGATTACTTTGAGCTGAATTATGTAGTTTCTCATTCCTTTTCTGTGGTTCACAGGTATTCCATTTTTGCCCTTCTATCGTCCCTGACTTCCTTCGTCCAACACCTCTGAACATTTTGCCAAGAGAGGGTCCAATTTCAGCTTTAATAAAGCTGCGGGCTTTACTATCTTGGCATCTTGGTCTCTGATTCAGGTACCTCCCCTTTATTTTTGTCCTTTCAGTTGTCCCTTTCATTTTCGTTGGCATTGTCGTACAATGGCTTTTTTCTTGTCTGTAGTAGCTGGATTTTGTGTTAAGCGAACTGAAAGTTTCGAGTGTTTTTTTTTTAATGGTAATTAATTTCATGTCCGACATAGCGCCATTTCTGTTTTGCCCCTTCTCGATGACTTCGTATTTAATGCGTTTATGGTTGCAATAAATGGTGCCATGTTTTCCATTTATGGAGATGGAGATTCTGGTTGGTCAACAAAATAAGTTGTGTGCAATAGGCTTACCTCTTCCTTTTGGTTACTTCATCAGCTCTCTATCCTTTTGGATGCTACGGGATGTTGAATGTTTGGATTTTAGAGCTCCTTGTGTTTAATTTTATTGATTTGATATCATCCTTCTTCAGCTTTATTAGGGCTTGGGACTTCAAATTTTGCTGTTCTTTCTTCCAGGTTTTTTATTTTTGCTGGTTCATCAGCTATCAGTCTGTTCACACGAAGATATCAGAGCATTTGCCAATAACAACGCCCTGTTTTGGTCAAGCAAACCTGTGAACAATCTGTTTTGGCAACTTGGTCTGATTCAGGTATGCAAATGAAAATTCCTTGGTGGAACTTCTACATGAAAAATGTATAACTAGCTAGTTTTGTCTCTTTTGATCGAATAAACTGTGAAGAAGAAAGCGTCGATCGAGTAAAGCTTGCTTCTGTCGTTTCTGTGAACAAAGACCGACTGTATATTGTCGTTTTTCTTTTCCATCTGTTTGATTAGTGGTTTGATTAGCGGGCTTTTAGCTGTTAATTTTATCAGCATTACAACACATCACTGTTAGGTTGTTCTTTCCCCCCTAGAGTTTTCGGTGTCTCAAGTGATCATTTCGAATGAGGGAGCTCCTCATAATTAGCGTTGTAAGTGATGTTTTTAAACATTCTTGTTTTGTGATCTTTTTATAAGAGAAGTACATTGACTTGCCTAGTTTTCGAGGGTTTAACTTTTTCTATTTCGATCTTTGGGTTTGTAGTTCTTTTACAAAGTTGTTTATCTATTGACATTGTGACAAATCACCCATACGTTATTATTTTTGAGAATTTTGATGGGTCACTCTATTGAGAGTTCTTTTGTCGTTGGCCCATTTAATCTACCTGGGAAGGGAGCTGCATGTAAATTTCAGTTCTAGTTTGTGGTTTTGCGCCGCGCCTACTGGTTTTTCATTTTCAATTCGGTAACCGTCGTTGACTTCAATAGATGGAAGGGTTTTTATTATCCAACTCCAGGTTTGGCATCTTTGTTAACTTTTCAGTATTTCAGAAAACTTCACTGATTGGTTGTTCTCTTTAGAGAGATTTTGGTTGGTCATTAGAGCGAGCATTTTGTAGTTGGTCCACATGTTCGTTTCAAGGAAGGGAGCTGCTTGTAATTTCTCGTTCTAATTTGTCGTTTTGCGCCTGCTGGTTCTGCATTTTCAATTTGGTAAAAGTCATGTCAATCAATGGAGTGTTATTTATTTTCTCTATCCGTATTTGGTCTCTGTAGCTACAGAATTTAATTTGCTTCATGCTGCTGAGCTGTTATTGGTGAACCGTTCTATATATAGTGAACTTTTGAGGTCTCCAGTTGTTATTCAGTGACCTTGTTTCATATACAGTGTGAACGTCTGAGATTGTTTTGACCAGTGCTGCCCTTTTCCTTATATTTTCTCTTTGTCTTCTTCACTGGTAATTATCTATTTCTGAAAATATAAGGTGAATTGTGGTGTCTTGGCCATCAGGTCTTTTGCTTGCATAGTCCAATTTGTTTCTATGTCCTTTGGCTGCCCTTTTCATTTCTTTCCCATAAACAATGGATACTTTTACTGGACTTATTGTTTGTCTTGCTTCTCTAAAGAGTTTTTTGAAAGAGATTGAACGCGTGAGAGAGATTGAGTGCAAGTATTGAAAAGCTATGGAGAAAAAGGCGGTGCCTTCACGTTTATTTGGTGTTTGCCTTTTGCTTTTCCCCCATTGATTTCTGTCCTGTTTGATTGAATGATTTTCAGCTATATGATACGGTGTTTGCCTTCTTTTTATTAGAAGGAGATGAGTCGCATGACAAATGAAGGCAAAGATTCTCTTCTCCCCAAGGATCAGATAGAATCTCCACTGGTCGAAGAAGGAAATTCTGTTAGAAATATAAATGGGGAAATGAATCTCAAGAAAGGTCCATGGACAGCTGCAGAAGATGCAATCTTGATGGAGTATGTGAAGAAACACGGGGAAGGGAACTGGAATGCGGTTCAGAAGCATTCTGGTCTTTCTCGTTGTGGGAAAAGCTGTAGGTTGAGATGGGCTAACCACCTGAGGCCAAACTTGAAGAAAGGAGCATTTACCCAGGAAGAAGAACAGCTAATCATCGAGCTTCATGCCAAAATGGGGAATAAGTGGGCTCGCATGGCCGCTCATGTAAGTCTGTGTGTATGTAAATGATTCTGTGTTACTTGATGTGACAGGGAATTTTTTCTTATTATTGGATCTCACCTGAAAGTAGTTTTGGCCACACTTAAGAAGTTAACTACTTGATGATTTTCTCCTTTCTGGTCCGTCCGTTTGAGTTTTCAGAAGTCATTTGCTTTAACTGATGCTGTGTTAGGCTGCTGGTTTTATTTCAGAAGTCATTTACCATGTGGTTCTCTTTGCTACTTTATTGCCTTTTCATTTTGGAAAGTTTCTTGAAAATAGTCACATGTTGACACTTGTTTGATACTGTTTCTTCTAATCAGGGAATTACTTGATTTTCACGATGAGTTATGTATTCTAACTCTTATTCAATATTTTGAACTCTAATTGAAAATCTGAAAAGAAGCACAATATTGCTGCCGAATTATCTACAAAATGGAGATAAAATTGTATAGCAGTGGAGTATAGGGGCCATATTAGGTAGATGCGTTTGGCTCTGAACTGTAAGTAGGTTATGCAGAAACAGAATCTTGAACATGTACCATGAGTTTCGTTGACGAATGCTATTATTTCTTATCCAGGTAATGTAACCTCTTTAACTTAAAGTCTCTTTTGGCTCTTGCAGTTGCCTGGACGTACAGACAATGAAATAAAGAATTACTGGAACACCAGAATCAAGAGACGTCAAAGGGCTGGTTTACCTCTTTATCCCCCTGAAGTCTCCTTGCACCCATATCGGGCTAGTCAACAGGGCTTAAACATAGGTGGGACAAGTTACAGGTCTAAAGGACATCATGACCACCTCTTGCACAACTGCTATGAGATCCCTGATGTCCCATTTGACAGCTTAAAACCCAGTCAGGGGAGGATATCTAACTCTGCTCCTGAACTTCCTGATAACATGCTGATGAAAGGGATGGGGGGTTCTCGATATGATAACTTCAGTTCTCCGTTGATGTATCATGGTCAGAAACGGCCTCGAGAATCATCAACTTCTGTGTCATACAGTGGTAGTGGGAGAAATGATTTCTTGTTTTCTGAGTCCTTTGGCTTGTCCTTCCCATTCGATTCTGATCTAAACAGCACCAACAAGATCCAACAACAGCAACCACTTGGTGATGATCAGGACGGCCATACCCTTTTATATGGCAACAACTTCTCTGCTTCTAAGCCAACTACTGCGGCTATGAAGTTGGAGCTCCCTTCACTCCAATATTTCGATTCCGGTAGCTGGGGAGTAATATCTTCTCCACCACCTCTCCTTGAATCGGTTGATACTTTTATCCAATCTCCACGTGCTACTGGTACTACTGTTGGGTCAAATTGTCCTTCTCCTCATAATAGTGGCCTACTGGATGCTTTACTTCATGAGGCAAAAGCTCTAAGTAGTGCTAAGAATCATTATTCTTCCGAGAAGAGTTCGAATTCCTCAACAGTTACCCCTGGTGATATTGCAGACAGTTCGACCCTGAATGCTTGTGATGCAGCAGAATGGGACAACTATAGTGACCCACTTTGTCCCTTGGGCCATACTACTGCAACTTCGTTTTTCAGTAAATGCACTCCAATCAGTGCCAGTGGAAGTTCATTAGATGAACAACCACCACATATAGAGCCCTTTACAGGTATGCCTTCACTCCACTTTGTGTTTATCGAGACTCTGCTTCATGTTTCTGACGCATTTTTTTTAGCATTTTGGCAATCCTCTCCAGCATGTCTCTGTTATTGATCTGGGTTTGTGTTGATTCTCAAGTCACAAGCTTTCATTTTGTTGCATCCGTAGTTTGTGACATAAAATTTTCGTCTTACAGGGCGTGAGATAAAGTCAGAAGCTGAGGACTATGCCTTGACCCCAGTAAGAGAAAGGGAAAGGGATACTATTACAAGACCTGATGCATTACTCCCTTCTGACTGGCTTGAACAAGGATCTGGCAAAGGCTATGGTGTCAAGGATCAAGTCGTGATGACCGATGCCATAGCAGCTCTTCTTGGTGACGATCTGAGCAGTGACTACAAGCAGATGGCTGCTGCAGGAACATCGTCGGGGCCAAGTCAAGGATGGGTACTTGGTTCTTGTGCATGGAACAACATGCCTGCTGTCTGTCAAATGTCTGAACTTCCTTAATGAAGAGAAAATGACTTGTCTATCAAGAAAACGCAAACCCAGCATCTGAACCATTTTATTCTCATACTTTGGTGCTTCATCTATCTATTATCATGTGTTTCTTTTGGCTTTACTGTCTTCGGGATCAGAGTGAGTCAAGACAATTGCTTCCGGCTGGTGTTTGTAATATGATCATTGTGGTCGGTCTGTGTTTGTTATATGATCATGTGACGTAGAATTTGCCTTTCTTTTCTTTCTGCGTCTCCCATCTGTTGGGAATGGAACAATCAAATGTATGAACATGTCTGCAACTCCGGAACCTTTAACGTGATATTTCAGTTTAAGTTGATGCTTCAGGATTTGCTTTGTTCAATGTCTGTTTTGTCGTATCATTAATCTCCAACTGATGAAAGAATTACAAACCAGAACCAGTTTCACGACTCATCTCTAAAATTGCAAGACAATCACACCAAAAACAGCATGAAACCTAATAGAAAACAGTTGTAGCTATGGCAAGTTACCAAAGTTTTGAAGTGCGTCTTCTTCTTATTATTCCTCTTCCCTTAGCAAGGTGCAAAACTGAAGGGAAAGTGAACCCCTGCTTCTGCGCCAGTTTCTGCAAATCGTCTCTTCTCGAGCCCAAAGTAACTCCAACGCCAAAAATGCAGAACCCTAGAAGACAATCCCTAGCGCCTCTACCAAACCCTTCAAGCAAAACTGCTGAAATTAAGGCCGAAGCCAGAACTCCAATGATCAAATCTTTATCTGCTTTGCCAGAGGAAAACAACAAAATGGCAACTCCGGAAGCTAGAAACAAGCCTAACAGAATCACAAAGTTCCCCTTCCCTCTCTTTCTTCTACCCCATCCTCCTCCGCTGCCGCCGCCAAAACCCTTCCAAGACCTGGACCCACCTCCACCTCCACACCCAGAAGTGCTGAGTTCCGCCAGAATCAGACTCAGCGGTTCGGGCAGCAAGTTGAGGTTGGAAGCCATGGAGAAGGCCAATTTGGGCAAAATCTCGGCTACCTTCTGATGCCCAGATCCCCTCTTGGCCTTCTTTGCACAAATAACTGGGAGATGAATCTGGGTTCGGGACAAAAGTAGCGGTGAAGGGCGACTCGTTGCTGAAATTTCGAAGAACCCATGGGGTTGCTGTGAGGGCAGAGTATCGAATTTGTGATTCAGCACGTTCAGCATTTCGGCGTGCTGGCCGGACAGAGGAGCCCAGCCAAGAAGCGATTGTTGTTTGGGGAAAAGTTGGAAATTTTGGGAGATGGGAGGAGTAGGGAATCAAACTCCTACTTTTAAATGTCTTCACCGGGAAACCTTCGATTTCGATCAGCAGCTCCGGGGGGAGATAAATTGGTCCTCGCTTCTTCGCTGTTCAGTACTCGACCTGTGAGCCAGTTTTTGGAGGCCGTAAGAGGCATATAATTGAATGGGCCAATTAAGGTATGGGCTGTTGTTATCTGTAATGGCCCGTTTTCGCTAGCCCACTCGATTATAACATGGCCCATAGGACCGTAGGATTAGTGGATTGCACTCTCTGTAGTTTGCCCCCCAACATTTTCACTATGTGCTGATAAATAAATCATTATATGTATTATTGGCAACAAATTATTCTCTTGGGATCGTTTCGATCAATAATTTAGGTCTTAGGGCAAATTCTCACGCTTATATAATCCATTATTTGGACAAAATTACTTGTTTGTTTAGGAATGTGGGATTTTGTACTATATTGTGTGAATACAAAATAACTCTCGTTCATTGTCGCATGTCAATAAAAAATGAATTCAATTTCTCTCTCCATTGCCGTCGATAAGGGGTTCAATTTTCTCTATCCCCTGTCACACGGTAGCAAAGGAATGGTTAGAGGTCCCATCTTCACATGTGGGTTCAATTTCTCATCTCCAATGGATATGGGGTTTTGTAGCTAACATCGGAACAACTACGACTGCTCTAGCAGAGATATGGGGTTTCAATCAAGGGTTAGAGCTTGCTTGGAAAGTGGGTTGTCAAATGGTTAAGGTAGAATCTAATTCGCAGTTGACCATCCAACTTATTCAAAGTAGAGTGGACTCAGTTCATCCATATGCTACTCCCCTTTCGGTAATCCGTAGGAAGTTTGGACGTGATTGGCTGGATAACATTACTCATACATACCGCGAAGGGAATAGAGCCGCAGACTGGCTCTCGAAGCACAGTCTCGTCTATTCCTACGATATGCATGAGCTTGCTGACCCGCCATCCGGCCTTGCCTCAATTCTTTGAGATGATTTGTTAGGCACTACCTTTGAGCGACACATCGATCCTCCCTCCCCTTAATCCCCCTGTACTCCTCGTCTCTCTTCTAGGCTGTGCCTCCTTTTAATGCAATTTTTTTAAGGAAAATGATGTAATATATTTTACATTGTTTGGTTTTGATGATAGTTATATTTCCTACAAAAAGTAATATATTACATCATTTTCCTTAAACAAATTGCATTAAAAGGAGGCACAGCCTAAGGGCAAAAGTTTTATATATATATATATATATATATATATATATATATTCCTATTTAGACAAAGAATTAATCGGAGTTTGGGACATGATACTATACCCTAACCCCTAATGGGTGAATCCCAGTCCCCAATTCACTAATCCAAAGCACGAGATTCGTTTAATCTTAAAAATGAAAATCAACGATTCTGATTCGTCAAAATTTTCATTGGTTTTCATTTTAAGATTAAACGAACCTCATGGTTTGGGTTAGAAAATTAGGGACTGGGGTTCACCCATTAAAGGTTAGGGTATAGTATCATGCCCCAAACTCCGATTAATTCATTATCTATATAGCAAAACTCAATGGGGCGTACGCTAGGTTACCGTACGCCCGGGCGTACGCTAGCCTGAACCATATATATGGCAAAGGCTAGCGTACGTCCGGGCGTACGCTAGCCTACCGTACGCCCCATTGAGTTTTCCTATTTAGACAAAGAATTAATCGGAGTTTGGGACATGATACTATACCCTAACCCCTAATGGGTGAATCCCAGTCCCCAATTCACTAATCCAAAGCACGAGATTCGTTTAATCTTAAAAATGAAAATCAACGATTCTGATTCGTCAAAATTTTCATTGGTTTTCATTTTAAGATTAAACGAACCTCATGGTTTGGGTTAGAAAATTAGGGACTGGGGTTCACCCATTAGAGGTTAGGGTATAGTATCATGCCCCAAACTCCGATTAATTCATTATCTATATAGCAAAACTCAATGGGGCGTACGCTAGGTTACCGTACGCCCGGGCGTACGCTAGCCTGAACCATATATATATATATATTCACCCAGGGTACCGTAGAACTCGCCATATATGGTGGCTTCTATGGTACCCCGGGTGAAATCCAGGGTACCGCATACCTCGAGTATGGAAACTCTATCTAGACCTTGAATTACCAGGATTTTTGTGTCTAATATTATACCCTAACCCTTAATGAGTGAACCGTAGGTCATAATTATCTAAATCATAATCTATAAACCCTAAGATGGTGCATTCCTTTTTGTGCCTATATTTGGATGAATCATAACCGTCGATTATTGTTTATAATTAAATTAATCTTGGAGTATAAGATTGGGAGAGTTAACACCTAGATTTTGATCTTTAAGTGTTAGAGTATAGTATCATGTCCGAAAGATCGGTCAATTCAAGGTCTAGATAGTGTTTTCATACTCAAGGTATGCGGTACCCCGGATTTCACCCAGGGTACCGTAGAACTCGCCATATATATATATATATATATATATATATATATATATATATATAATTAGGGGTAAATTGCAAGGCTGGTCATTGAGATTACTAAAAATGTTCATGTTTAGTCACTAAAAATATTTAATTCCATTCTTGGTCACTAAATTTACTAAAACATGTTATGTTTGGTCACTCTCCGTTAGCATCCGTTAACAACGTCAATTTATGTTGACGTGACTAATAAAAATGTCCAATCATCCAATTTTAACCCAAAAAATGTAAAACCCGAGCCGCCACATCTTTAAACCCGCGACGTCGCCTTGACTAACCCAACCCTTTAACCAAACACATGAACCTACCCCAACTTTTCAATCTAGGCGAATGACAGAAGGATCATTAAGATGCTCGTACCTCTCCAATACATTCCCATTAAATCAAAAGCATAAGTAAATGCATTCTGAAGAAGAACATGTCGGGAACTAACCCAATACCGCCCAAACTAAATGCAATCAACCCCGACGAACCCAACTTTTCTTCTTCTTCCGGCGACCTAGGGGAACCCAAGCAGATCGTCACTACAAGCAACCAAGGCAAACTCATCAACTTTTCTTCTTCTTCCGACGACGACCTAGGCAAACCCAAGTAGATCGCCAGTGTAATCAACCTAGGCGAACCCCATCATCCACCGTCCTAGTCGCAATCGACGAACCCATCCCGATATGGGTTTTTATGGTTTCAATTTTTGGGTATTGGGGGTTCTAATTCGCGTCGGGTTTTTTTGGGTTCTAATTCGTGTTGTATCTTGGAGTTTTGCCTCAAACTCCTTCATCGATGATTCTGGGTATGAGTGCCTCTTCTTTCTGTTCTGAGGGATGCGGAGGCTTGATTTAGTGGATGACACCATCGGTTCTGATGACGTCGTCGGGTCGAATGATTTTGGCCGAGACGACGGTGGTTCTAAGTATTTCATGTTGTGGGGGCTGCGATGTTTCAGGTGACCTTCACGCGAAAACCCAGCTCTACAGCTGTAATGGTTTTTTCCCCAGTTTGGGCAGGTCATGGGTTGGGTTGGGTCAAGCTGATGTGGCGGGTTTAATGATGTGGCGGGTAGGATTTTACGTTTTTGGGTTAAAATATGATGACTGGACATTTCTGTTAGCCACGTCAGCATAAAATTGACGTCGTTAACGAAGGCTAACAGAGACTAAAGGAGAATGACCAAACATAACATGTTTTTGATAAATTTAGTGGCCACGAATTGAATTAAATATTTGCAGTGACTAAACATGAACATTTTTAGTAATCTCAGTAACCAACTGTGCAATTTACCCATATAACTAGGGATATAACTAGAACAAAAAAGAAACCCAACAATCTCCTCAAAACAATATCATCAATTACAAATTTTAGAACAGATATTAAAATGAGTGATAGTTTCCATCATATCAACAAAACAATGAGTGTATTGTTTAAGTAAATAAACCAAAAAAATGATACATTGTTAACAATGCACGCATTGTTACAATCTCAACTAAACTATCACCAAAACCAAACGACTACTTAGAAAGTTCCAGGTTTGAGATAGGCTTGGTAATCGGTCGGTTACTGGTTAACCAGTTACCGACCGACCCAATTTTCGGTATATCGTTTAAAAGGAAGGGAATGTCGAATACCGATATCGATTTTTAACCGGTTAACCGGTTACCGAATACCCGGTTAATAGTTACAAACTAGTATACCAAATTACCGTGACATAAGGGAAAAACGCTGGCGACTGGGAAGAGGAAGGGGGGCGAAGTAGCAGAGGCTAAAACAGCTGGACAAGGGAGGCGGCTCGCACTTGCGGAGCGACGAACAAAGCACGTCGGGATGCACAGGGAAGGCTGAGTCGAGGCAGAGCTCGGAGATTCGCGGCGGCCAGCGGAGATGGGAAGCGCACGATGGCGAAAGGGGAAATTGTTAATATTGCACGCGTTGCTTCTGCTCTCGCCGACGGTATCGATTTCACCGATTAACCGTCTATATTTATTAGTATTAGATCTGGTATACCGAAGCCCCCTTAAACGCCTCTGACTATCGACACCGACCAGTTATCGGTTAATCGGTAACCGCCAGTTACCGGTATGGTTTTCGATTTACCAACTATCAGCCCTAGTTTGAGATTCCGCAATGAAAGTATAGATTTTCACACTTATATTTGTAATGAAAATTCTCAAACAACAATTAATTGAACACTGATGTTACCAAGCCATGGCACAACCTTCGGTGGGGGAGGCAACAACAGGTCGATACAATTCCACAGATCAACCGAATCACCGGTCGCTAGCTCTATTCGATGTTTGGTTATGGCTTAGCCGTCTCTCTCAAGTTCTGGGCTCTCCTCCGGCCGCCGTCTCCCAAGGTTTACGGTAAGGCTGACGGTTCTGCTATAAACGCGCTGCTACGGATCGGGAAATCGCTGGAATCG